TTATCCTGCTCAATGCAGCAGTATGGTGCACTGTGGTTAGACATGTGATAGACATGGTCAGAAACAGTACTCGGGTTGGTTGTGGCATTTGAACAATGCTCAGTTGGTACTAGGAAATCATTTGCAACTGGTGCATATCAAATAACATCTGCCATCTTCTGTGAAAAAGTAAGCTATAAACTTTCACAGCATACATGATCTGAAATGACAGATATTTGCTGGTCTGGTTCTTAATATAAGCCTGTAATCTCTAAAGTTTCTGATTTCTGATGTTTCTGTGTATACTGAATGTCACAGTTGATAGAGCTGAAAATGATGCATGGCAGTACCTGACAGGAGCAGCGCTGACAGCTATCTGTAGGGTGTGCAAATTGCTCCCCACTCAAACAGTCGCGTCCATAGAAGTTACATCCATCACACACTTCACATGCACAGCTGTTGAGAGTTGGATGTGGGCATGACACAGCAGGGCATTTTCTTTGCTCACACACTACCTCACCTCTCTAAAAAAACAACCAAAACCCAAACAAAAATAAAACATGATGCCATGATGGTGAACTTAATAAGCGGTTTAAATAATGCGTTGCTCTCGCTCACTGAACATCTGCAGTCCTCGCACGCTTTTTCTTGTTCAGGGAGAATCTGTCCATCAGCATAAGTCAGACCTTCAAAACGACAACCTGCATACACAATAAAGCGTCAGTTACCTACTTATTCTGCTTAACATGAGCTGTGATGTGTTGATCGCTGATACCTTCACAGACTGGGCAACCACAAGCATCAGCGACTGGATTAGGACAAAGGGCTTCAGGACACCGCTTCCTCCTACATTGCACCGAGCCTCTCTGTAAGAGAAATAAGCATGACATGGTGTCTAAAGCTAAGAGGAATGTCTGTGTGGGTGTGCTGATACTACCTGGCAAATACATTCATAGCAAGGGTTTCCTGGGTCAGGAATGGACTGTCCATTGATGAGGACTGCGCCATTATAGGAACAGCCTGTCAAATAAAGATGTGTTTAGTTGGTCAAATTGTAAAAATTGGGGAAAAATATCAGTGTGGGCACAGTTAGTTTATTAAGCGTTCATACGGTCACATTCTCCACAGCATTGTCTTGGTGGTTTGTAAGGGTGACTGCACTTTTCATCACAGGGTATCCTGGAGCACGTGACATCGCCTCCGTAACAACGACAGACAACACAGGGGTCGCTGCCATCATGAAACTCAGTGCCGTCAAGATATTCTCTACCATTATACATGCAGCCTGCAAGAAGAAATTTACAGTTTGATGCACGCAAAAAAAGATAATTTTTAAATGACTTTAACTGAGGCCAGTGATTGGTGCATTGGCTCAGGTTCTCACCACCACAGGACATGCAGCAATCTCTCTGGACTGGGTGTTTACAGTTGGAGGGAGGACAACGTTTCCTCTGACACTGGACAGAGCCGTCACGACAAGCACACTCAACACATGGCTCTGATGGGTTATCCCACATCTCCCCATTAACGCGCTGTTGATCTTCATATAAGCAGCCTGAGAAAAAGAGAGAGAGAAAGATAATTGATAATAAAGACGCAATAAACAACTGCGTCAAATATCAGTAGTGCTCTGATCTTTAATTAAGGACATGACAACTTGTACCTTCGCAGCTCCGACAGCAGTCTTGTTGGATGGGGTGAGAACAGTGAGCGAACGGGCAGCGCTTTCGCTTACAGCGAACTGTCCCGTTGGTGCAGGCACATGATCGACAGTCGTTATTGGGGTCACTGAAATGCTCCAAGTGACTGTAAGAGCTTTGTTCATACACACAGTCTGACTGAGGAGCTGAAGAAAAAAAAACAAATGTGAAATTATTTACCATAAAAACTTTCAGGAGTCAGCTTCATAGTCGTTGGTATAACTTATATTTTGCCATCACCAAATAATTTTTGTATTTATATTTAAATTATATTATACTATTCTCTCATTATATATGTATGTAAAGCATACAAACACAGTATTTGACCAGTTCCTATTTGCAGTGTAGTCCTTGACTCAGAAACTGCTATTATTCCTCTTCCTCCTCCATCGTCACAGCAGATTGTCTGCCTCCATTTCACCCAATCTCTAGCATCCTCTTCAGTCACACAAACTTTCTCCATGTCCTCCTTCACTACATCCATGACACTCCTCTGTGGTCTTCCACTTTTCCTACTGCCTAGCAACTCCATATTCAAAACCATTTACCCCGTATATCCACTCTCTTTCCTCTGCACATGTCCAGCCCATTTCAAGTTCGCCTCCCTAGCATTGCCTCTAACCTACTCAACCTAAGCTGTTCCTAATAGTTCTAATCCTGTCCACCCTGGTTACTCCCAACAAAAATCATAGCATCTCCACTCTTGGCAGTTTCCCTCACCACCTAAGTTTTAATTTCCCGGTCATCTGCTAATTCTTTCCTACGACCCAGAGCTTGCCTCAACTCCTTCCTGAACTCTGCACTCTTCTTCAACTCCCATTATTTAATCCTTGCCTCTGCCTTCACTTGTTTTCTGTTCTTGATTTCCAAATTCATCCTACAGACTACCTAATGAAGCTGCTTAGCTACATTCTCCACTTGCAGTCTCCAACCTCTTTCAGATTTCACCTTCTGCACAAGATGTAGTCCGCCTGTCTCCACTCTTTTCTATCTTACCCTATCCTACCCTGTTCTTCTCCCATCTTGAAGTATGCTTTCACAAAAATGTTCATCCTTTTTGCAAAGCCAACTGCCATCTTTCCTTCCACATTTCTCTGCTTATCGCATACCTATCCAGCACCTCACTGCCTCAGTTGTCAATATCTACGTGTCCACGTAAGTCTGTTCAGTCTCTCTTCCTTTGAGATTATCCCTCCTCCATTTGGCTCCTTATTGTCACCATGGTAGAACAGTTTAAATCCACCTCCGATGCTCCTTGCCTTTTGTGCACACAACCTTCCTATCCAGTGTCTTTTTTCTCCATCACATCAGCCAAAGTGTAAACTTTTGAATTGTGGCGTGACGAAGAGTGCTTTTTTCTTGGTTCAAAGTAGATTTGTGAATTTTTTTACTTGAGGGGGGTAACTGTGCTTTGTACTACTTTTTCTAGATATTTTGAGTCATCAAAGAAGATAAGGAGAATTCTGCAAGAGCAAAAATGGCTTGTATAACAGCGAAAAAAGGCTTTTTAAAACTCTATTTTGTGGCATATTTGGCTGGTGATTCTCTCATGCAATTTTACTGTTGCACTGGAAATTCATTTAGCTAATGCTTTAAACTAACTTTTCAAACAAGCGCCCCAGAAGGACTCTGTTCTTGCATATCCTTACCAGGACACTGGGGACAGCACTCTCCTTGTATCACATGAGGGTTAGAGCAGGTCAGTGGTGGACACCTCTTCATCAGACACTGGACATTTCCATTCTATGACAAACACAAACAGAAATGAAAACCTGCTTTAAGAAGGCAACATGTTATTGAATTAGGTGTTGTACTCATTATTCTTACAGTGCAGCTGCATGTCCTGCATGAGTCAGTAGGATGGGGAAATTGTTGTCCATTGGAATATTCTTTCCCTGCATAGCTGCAGCCTGCAGCAGTAAAACAAGCAATGTTGTAATTATGAGATCCTAATTTCTCAGAGTTGTTTATTTTCCTTACAGCAAATGTAAACTTTCTCACCATTGCAGTTGTTCTGGCAGCACTGCCCAGGCATCGGTGCATTACAGCGAGGCTCAGAACATTGTGCTTGATGGCAGTCAATCCTTCCACTCACACACGTGCACTCCTCACACACACTCACGGGGTTGGGAAAAACATCTCCATTCAAAAACACACGGTTTTCATAGGAGCAGTCTGACAAGAACAAACACACACATTACAGTCACCTCACTCAGAATAGATCACGTTTACCTATGATAAGAATCACAGTCTGAGTTTTAGGTACCTCGACATCTGGGGCAACAGTCTCCAGGTGGGGTGTAGGAGTCCCTGCAGTTAAGCTGAGGACAAGATTGTCTCTCACACTGAACAGTGCCATGCTGAGCATAAGATGAAAGGAGAAAATGTTAGCAGGTGCAAAGATAAAAAGTCATAGGGAATGTGTTTATGAATGGATTCTTACCAGACAAGTGCAGGTGTGGCAAGGTTGGTCAGGGGTCGCGAAACTCTGACCATTGCTATAGACACGTTGGTTATAAGTGCAGCTGTCACAGACTGAACAACAGGAGCCTAAAAAAACGAGACAGAGTATTCAGTTTGTTAAAGTATCTCAAAAAATGTGGAATTCATTTTTTCCACAATTTAATTAAGAAACATAAACGTAATATTTTACACATTAATTTCACAAAGTTCAGCAGACACAACCACACTCATGGGGAAGCCTGCTGACTTGAAAATGTCCACACTCCTCAAGGAGAGTAAGCCTTTGCCGAGTAGGCTGGCTTGACTGATCATAGTTTGATATATAGATGCCTGATTTTCACCAGCCACACGGCCTAATCATCAAAATTAAAACAAAACAAAAAAGACATATTTCAATTAATGTGTAATAAATATAGCATTTATAAGAGTTAGGGTCACAGTCTTACCAGTAATCCTGGTGGGATGCAGACAGTTGTTGGCAGCACACTGTGTGCGTGTGCATAAGGCCTCTCCATTCACACAGGTGCAGCTGGAACAAGGACCCTCAGGCTGCCAGTTGGACCCCTCATCATATTCCACTCCATCCAGTTCACATGCTGCAATGAGAAAAGAAAGTTTTCATACAGGACACTCACTCGTATGAACCTGCACTCTACATGTGTATGAGTCAGAAGTTACTTTTGCAGACTGGACAACAAAGATGTGGGTGTCTAATCGGATTGGAGCAGCGGACAGGAGGGCACTTTTCTTCGTTGCAAATTACATTTCCACTCTAAAACAGAGAAGCAACAAAAGAAATGTCAAATATATTAATGGGCATAAAAAGTGCTATGATCTAGAAAAGAAAAATGCATGAAACAAATGAAGAATCATGCCTCCTCTTGAGTTTTTGCACTAGACACACACTTTCTTTGGGTGTATATTGCATAAACTTACCTTACACCTGCACTGCAGGCAGGGTCCACCCCCAGAAGGGCTGAAGATTTCCCCATCAGCATACACCCTCTGTTCATACTCACACTCTGGAGGAACAAACACAAATAGCTGATAGGTTGTTTCTGTGAAAGTTGAACTGTAGCGGGAACTAGATGTATATTTTGACACTGACCATTGCATGTGGCACAACACTCTCCTCTGTGCCTAGCTGGATGAGTGCACTGTGGTGTAGGACATGATGCAGCTACACATGACACTTGACCTGCCTAGCAAAGAAATTGAATATGTATAACTTATTCTTTTAACCTTAGTTGTCACAAATATCATGGCTACTCTGTAAGTTTTGATACATTTTTATTCAGACTTTGTCAGTCTAAACTCACAGAGCAGTAGCATTGGAGGCAGGGGTCTCTCTTTGAGGTGAACCTCTCTCCATTCACATACACTTCAGACTCATATTCACACTGCTCGCATCTACAGGTTCACGTAAACATTGATTAAATATATTTAAAAACAACAAAAAAGGTGAAACTGTACAGGCTTAAATATGATATGGATGATGGTGGTAGGCAGGCTTGTTACCGTGGACAACACTCCCCAGCATGATACACTGGATTGTGACAAGACGGAGCAGGACAGCGAACGCGTGAACACACCATATTTCCATTCTTTGAGAGAAAGAACAAAAAAAATGATCCTCAATTCATTTACATTTAAATCAAATGTAATTGTAACTTATAGACACACCTCACATCTACACTCTTCACAGGGGTCTCCAACAGGGATCACAGCTCCATTAGGGACTTCATGTCCATTCACATCACAGCCTACAAGACACACAAATAGACACATTGTGCCTCTACAGTCTAACACATATACAAACCTTATTACACAAAGCAATTAAGCCCACCTTCACAGACTGGACAGCAGGTATTTGGAGGAGGAGCAGTAGGGTTTCTACAGGGAGTGTAACACTGCTCCCTCTCACAGCGAACATATCCGTCCTGTGATGAAGAGTGAACAGCATTATTAGAGATGAAGGTGAGCAGATGAAAACCTGAGCATGTAGTTGCTGTCAAACCCACCAAACACTGGCAGATATCACAAGGACTCTCCACCGACCTCCAAGAGTCTCCATTGTTATAATTTACACCAGAATGGGTGCAACCTGTAAACACACATCACATTATTGTACTATTCCTGTGCTTCTAGGTATGAAGATATTAATCTGTACATCTAAACAGGTTTTATCCACCCTAAACCTTTCTGCAAGAAAGATTCTCAGTACAGAGCTAGTTCCTAACAACCCGAAACCAACAAGAAGGTCCATTTGTTTTCATATTTGTTGAGTCCTGTCAATTTTTGTGACATTGACAACTGGAAATTTGAGTATATGTGATTAGGACAGCACATGCTATTTGTTAAAGTAAAAAAGTGCAAGGCAGAATTATTTTGGATAGCTATAAAATGATCAGAATATATGCCAGTGTACGCTTACAAGTTATGCACCATGGGTGATACAGTAAAAAGCATGGATGTGGTGAAGGGGTACATGCAGAAGGTTGGTATGACAGAAGAGGATGCAAGGGATAGGGTGAGATGGAGGGAGATGCTCTGCTGTGGTGACTCCTAAAGGGACCAGCCAAAAGAAAGAAAAAGAAATGATACAATGAATGCCAGACAGAGTTACCAGTGTGCATAAAACGAATTAATGTGTACCTTGCCAAATAGGCAAGTTTAGTTCCTCTCAAATGTATTGTTTAGTATGCTTTATCTTCTCTGTACTTACCTGTGATTTGCTGGGCACAGCCTCCAGGTACATTCCCCTGTGGGCAGTCTTGAGGGGGGCACTCCCTGTTATCCTCCTATTCAAATGAAGAGAAACACAAAATTAGAAAAAAAAGAATGGAAAAAAGGGCCAAAAGACTTCTTCAAGCTTATTTAATATTTTTGATTGTCATATATTATGAAGTAAACATCAAATATTTACATTGCACGTTTGTGTCTGACAGCCAGGTACATTTTCCTGTGCGCAGTCTTGATTAGGGCATGGCTGTTGAGGGCACTGCCTGTTATCCTATTATTAAAAAGGAAGAGAAACAAAAAAATTTTTAAAAAAAGGAATGAAAAATGGGACCAGCAGACTTCTTTAAGCTTATTAAATATTTTTGATTGTTGTTTATTATGGAAAATAATGAAATACTCACATCACATGTTCGTGTCTGACAGTCAGGTACATTTTCCTGTGGGCAGTTTTGAGGAGGGCTTGGCTGTTGAGGGCACTGCCTGTTATCCTCCTATTTAAATGAAAAGAAAGTAAAATGAGACAAAGATCCATCCATCCATCTTTTTCCGCATTATCTCTAAGCGAGAGGCCAGCCACCCTTCAAAGGAAGCTCATTTCTGCCGCTTGTGTCCGTAATCTGTTCCTTCAGTCACTACCCACAGCTCGTGACCATAGGTTAGGGTAGGAATCTCGATCAACCGGTAAATGGAGAGCGTCACGTTTACACTCAGCCCTCTCTTCACCAAGAAAGGACCGGTACAACATCTCCATCACTGTAGCCACAACACCAACCCGTCTGTAGATCTCCCGCTCCCTTCTCTCGTCACTCGTGAACAAGACTTCAAGAAACTCCTCCACTTGGGGCAGGAACTCGTCCCTGACCAGAGTGGGCACTTCACGGCAGGAACTTGTCCCTGACCAGAGTGGGCACTTCACCCTTTTCCAGCTGAGGACCATGGCCTCAGATTTGGAGGTGCTGATTCTCATTTTCATTGCTTCACACTTGACTTAACACACGCTGCGAACCGTTCCGGTGCGAGCTGGAGGCCATCGCCCGATGAAGGCAACAGAACAACATCATCTGCGAAAAGAAGGGATTAGATTCTGAGACCACACAAGTGGCCACCAGACGCTCACCCTCAGGCACCCTCCCCGGGCCAGGCTTCACAGCGGGGCCCTGGTGACCCTACCCTACGCAGGATGAACTGTTCCCTTGATCATATACTCACAGGGGTCTTTTATATCGCTCTTTCAAATAATGAACTGAAAGCAGTGCCAGAAAAGTTCTTTAAATTCATTAAATGTTTTTGACTGTCATGTGGTTAATTATTAAATACTCACATTACACGTTCTTGTCTGACAGTCAGGTACATTCTCCTCTCTGCAGTCTTGATTAGGGCATCGCTGTTGAGGACACTGCCTGTTATCCTCCTATTAAAATGAAAAAAAAGAAAAAGAAAAAAGGAATGGAAAATAGGAGCAGAAGACTTCTTCAAACTTATTAAACATTTTTCCATTTCTTATGGAAAAATATGAAATACTCACATCACACGTTCGTGTCTGACAGTCAGGTACATTTTCCTGTGGGCAGCGTTGAGGAGGGCACGGCTGTGGAGGGCACTGCCTGTTATCCTCCTATTTAAATGAAGAGAAACAAAAATGAGAGAAAGAATCAACAGAAAACAGTGCGAGAAAGGTTGTTTGAGCTCATCAAATGTGTTTGAAAATCATCTGTTGTGGTTAATTATTAAATACTCACATTACATGTTCTTCTCTGACAGTCAGGTACATTTTCCTGTGGGCAGTTTTGAGGAGCGCATGGCTGTTGAGGGCACTGCCTGTTATCCTCCTATTTAAATGAAGAGAAATAAACACAACATAAGCAATGAACAGGAAACAGGACTAGCAGATTTCTTTAGGCTCATTCATTTTTTTTATTGTTATTTTGTTGCGACTGAATATCAAACACGTACATTACACGCTCTTGTCTGACAGCGATCTTCATTACAGTTGGACCCATTGTGAAAAGGACAATCTGACTGGACCCCTGGAAATCAAACAAAGTCTTTAGATCACAATTTTTTTTCTGCGTCTTTAATTGTAAGTTAGGATTTTATGCAGGCTTGGAGTTTTATTCTGCTTTCTTTCTCTGTGTCTCTCTGTCAACCTTTTTCTCTTTACTCTTTGTTGGATCGATCATCTCTGAGTCTGCCCATGGCTTGCTTCCTGCACCTGCAACTAACTGCCTGCCTCATTAGTGCTGTGTTTTTAACATAGCTAAATACTGTGTTTTTACAAGCAGTAAAGCTTTCATTTCCTATTGAAGTTTACAAGTTGAAATCTTGTTGTAAATAAACCTTGCCAGTTGCTTGACTCTGCTCTTTGGTTGTGTTTATGCTGGAGTGTATACTGTAAGTAAAAAAGTCTAAATGAGGGCATTTTTCTGGTGCCACCCTCTGCCATCTCTGTCTGTCTCTACAGGTTTTCTTTACCTTTTCCCACTGAGTCACTGATGAACATCTGGCTTTGCTCTTTTTCCAGTAATAACAAACAGCATGGTTCTCATGTAATATACACATGCTTGCCTTTACACACGCATACGCATTTTATGGACTGTAACCATAACCAGAATTGTCTTCATGCTTTCCGACGTTAAGTCAGACAAGTCTATTAACACTGCAGGATATTTACTGTGGGCGAAACAGAATGTTAGTTTTCCGAGGGATTCCCTACCAAACAGATGAAATCACGGTCTTAATAACTTCCTCTATTATGTCTTTGACCATTTAAAAGATTATGTTTATAGTACAGCAATCACTGAAGAGAAAAGTCACATTTATTATAAGCATTTACATTCCTCGTTGAATATAATTTGCTGACCTTGGGTATTTCAGCCTTTAATCACTGTAATGACTCAAACAATGTGTTTGTGTGCAAGAGAAGGCAATAATCACAGCGCAAACAAGAGGTTAGTAAAGCTGCCTACTGTGCCTAAAGGCATTTCCTTTAGCAAGCCAAGAATGCATTTGCTAAAAGTGTGAGTCCACAAGTGTGTGTAATCATGGTGCCCTTGCAGCTGTCTGCTCTACGTATGTACTAGCAATGAAGCAAGTGCCAAAGGTAGGTCAGTGGGGTGTAAGAAAGGGGACAGTGGGCTAAATGTGGGGGAAAAATGGGAAAATCAAGAGAATACTTAATTAAAGATGAGGCTAGGAATGAGGCTAGTCCAACATCAGCAAAAGCCCCATGTCTTTGTTTCATATGTACATGTATTTTTACACAGTTTCTTCAAATGCACCAAGCAGAACGTGCAGGAACTGCTTAGTTTCAGTGTAACAACACATTACTGACAAATTATTCAGTTAAAAGATTGACATGATAAATATTGTTGTTTGGATAGTTTTTTT